GGGGGGGGAGGGGAAGCAGCAGTGTAGAGTGTATAAGGGCTGGGAATAGCAAGTGATGGAGAGGAGGAGAATCGAGAGGGAGGGGCTTCAAGGAAGGGATGGGGTCTTGGAGGAAGGTTGGGGCGGTAGATCTTGGCTTATTCTGACATTTAAAAAGTGATTATGGATGTAAAAAGGTTGGAGACCACTGCCCTGACTTATCCATACTGCACATGTTTTCACAAGAATGTAGTGATCAAGGGTTTTAATTTTGCAGCTTATCAGTTACCATGAACGGTTACACTGCACTGTGGACTCTGTATCAGAGCCTGTGGACATGCTGTAGACTCTGTATCAGAGCCTGCAGGGTGACAGCCCTGATAGCAGGGTGGGATCCAGGAGCCGGGCTCTGTATTGGAGACAGCAGCACCGGGGCAGCAGGTAGGAGCGGGCTACAGGTAGGAGCCAGTTGCTGCCCCGTGCTGCTGATACAGCGGCAACAATGCAGGGCGGCAGCCGACCCTCAGAAATGCAGCCAGCAGGCAGGAGCCAGTATGTGCTGGGAGCGCTTCCGGTGGCACGCACCAGCTCGTGGGGAGCAGTCTTCGGCCCTGCGTTGCAGGTGTGTGTAACTGTGTAGCTGCTGAGATTACCCAGTTACTTGGTTTTTAACATCCCTAGTGAGAACATGCTCTTTTTCTGTGATTTCCAGAACTTCTTGCTTCCTTTGGGAATGAAAATAGTATCTCCACATTTGGCTTCCCCATTCAGTCCTGGGAAGCACTGCACAGCAATGAGCTGACAATGGGCAGCTTTGTGTAGGGAGTGCACCCATGGCTCATCTTCAGTTGTATTCTCAGAACACCTAGGTTAGGTGTTTCTAGTCTTCACTAGAAAACTTTTCCATTTAGATCATGTGGAAATGCAGTTTCCTACAGTGGAGAAAAAATGGGAGAGATGTTCAAGACCCTTATGTTGTTGTTGTTTTGTTTTTAAAAGGTTGCTATTAGGTATGTAAAAGTTGAATTGGCTACCTGTTAAGCATTAGCCTGATAGCATGCTTACCTTGTAATGAGTTAACGAGGAGGTCAGGAACAGCCTGCTCCCCCCTCCTCCCCATGGAAACCCCGCTGTCAGAATCCCCACTATGCAGCCCAGTGGAAGCAGCTCCCTGCCTGGGCAGCCTGGCCAGAGCAGCCTGTGACAGGCCCTGCTGGCCAGAGCAGCCCCTAGCCCCTTCTTTCCTCCTCCTCCTCCCCCCACCCCAGCTGTGGCTCAGCAGACTGATTGGAAGGACCCTCATCTTTGGGGCCCCTGCCTAGAGCAGCCCCTGCCACAGGACCCTAGCCCTCCATAGTTAAACAATTTATATCGTTTAACCGGTTAACTTTTTAATGAGTATTTATGTCCCTGGTTGCTGTTGGAATCCTGTTCAGATTTGAGTCCTCTGTAGTATCTTTATGTACACATTAAATGTAAAGTTTTAGTTATGGTCCATGCTGCAAAGGTTCTTACATAAGAGAAACAAGGAGCCCTGTGGCATCGTAAAGACTTACAGATTTTTTGGAACATTAGCTTTTGTGGATCACTTTTTCAGATACACATGGACTCCATGCATCTAATGAAGTAGGTTTTATTCATGAAAGCTTAGGCCCCCCAAAATTTTAGTCTTTAAAGTGCCACTCCTCATTTTTGCAGATACAGACTAACATAGCTACCCCTCTGAGAGTTGACTTAGCAGATTGATACATTCAAGCTAAGGTATAGCATGGCAGTCACTGACACGTTTTACATCTCTGTAAAAAGATATTTACACACAAGTTTTACAGAAATGTCTCCTGATCTGTTTTTGTCTATGATATATGCCTTATGCTATTAGTGGGCTTTTTTAGTTTTGGGGGGTTTTCTTTAATTTAAAAAATAACATTTAAAAAAAAAACAGAGGATGAAGAGGCAATACATAAGCCACTTCCTGTTCTTAAACATTATTGAACTAGATCTTTGGCACTACTTCAGGATACCCCTAGTTTAGAGGGTACGGGACCAGCTTCCGAGTGTAGGGGATATTCCAGAGAGGGTAGGGGGAGAGTGTGTCAGGGATGGGATGGGGAGGGCCAGAGCAATATGACTTCTGATAGTCCCTGCTGAAGGAGTGACTCCTTTGGAGCTATTATCCACCAGTGTAAGTAAAAGTAGCTCTTATGCTGCCCTAACTTTTAGCAAGGGGCTGGATTGGCCCCTGCTGTACTTCAGGTTGAAGGTTGGAAAGTTGATGAAAAACTACCTATGTTCACATACCTCTCCTATCCCAGATGCATTGACTGCTGAACTCATCCAATATACTATTTAAAAATATACCAGCATCTTAAATTAAAATATTTAGGGATATGATTTGATGTACCAAATTTGGGAAATGCAGAATCCGCCCTCAGACTACTTCCTGGATTTCCAAACAGTGGGTGTGTTTTAGTCTGTGGGGTGATATTTTGTTAGGAAGCCGCCATTTGAGGGCACCAGGTAAGGCTGTGTTTTCAGATTCCACACTAGGGACGTAAATGGGTAAACGGGATAACAAGTAGCCTGGACAGCCTGAAGCAGTCCCCATCTCCAATGTGGTATGGCAGGCCTGGCTCGGCCTCGGCATCCCCAGCCTGTGGTGCAGTGGGCTGGGCCCCCTGTGGCATAGGAAAGAGGCTGCTCCAGCCCAGCCAGGCCTACCACAACACATGATCTCGGTTAACCAGGATTTTATATCCTTAGTCTACATACCACTCCAAGTGAAGCCAAATTCCAGTCTCTGTGTGTTCCTGAGGGCAGACTTGGGCTGCATTTTTTTCTCTTCGCTCACATCTTCCTGAATTTTTTCAGTCAAACCAAATTATAAATTATCATTCCTTTTTTTTTTTCTCCCTGTGGATGTGTGGACATGTGTCCAGTAAGGAAAGTGAACTGTCCATGTGTAAGGGGACTGTTAGCCCTTTATTAACACTCTGTGGGAGTTTTTGGTTTGCCAGCTCCAAGTATCAAAAGGGGAATGGTCCATGAGAAATCAGGGCCCTGAGACTGACGGACCCCAGAGACAATGGAAAGCAACCATCACCAGCTCTGCCTGATTGACAGGTTGGACAGGCCAGGGAGGGAAGTAGGAGGCCAGGCCCCATCCTCTGTGTGAGCTGGGATTTTTTTCTGGGTCTCTCTGGAGCAAGAAGAGAGAGCTAAGAGGAGCAAGCTGTGTGGAGAGGCTGTCCTGCAGCAACAGAGCCAGGCACACACAGCTCAAGGAGCGCAGACCCTGTCTGGAGCAGCAGACTGGCAGTGCTCAGAGAGCCAAAGGGGACAGAGAAGCAACACAAGGAGCTGGAGACTGGCAAAGCAGCACAGCCTGCAGCTGGGTATGGTGAGCAGCTGGGACCAGCAAAGTGGGGGGAGAGACTCTGGGCAGGGGGACACCACCAGCCAAGAGGCCCTGCAGGTCAGACTGGGAAAGGGGTCCTGCCACCTAGAGCCTGAAGCCATGTGGTCAGTGCCAGAGCAAGTGTGTCCAGCCTGCAGCCCCCCTGAAGCACAGCCAGGATCTATAAGGGACCTATAAGGAACAGACTGTGAACTGTCCTTACACTCTGCAGACTGCTGTTTTGATGTCCCGGTGCTACAGAGCAGGACAGTGTGTTCTCATTTAACCATTCTCATTTTTTCTTATTCTTTTCTCTTTAATCAGTTGATGTTTAATAAATTTTATTTGCTTTGAACCTTATGAAATGATCACTGGGCCAAGAAAGCATGCAGTGTGAAGAGAGCACCTCGGAGTGGGGACACCCTAGCCACAAGTAACTACAAGGTCGGGGATTAAGCCCCAGAAAACCTGGGCCCAGCCTTGTTGGGGTTTTGAGGACTCTGATACTCAGGACAGTGGAAGGGGATCCCTCAGGATCAGGGAGGCCCGGGGGGTAAAGGAAGTGGGAGCAGGGACTCAGATCCTTTCGTTGGTCCATATCACCAGAATGGTATAGAATCCAGGAAAGTTCCTCACAAAAGCAAGACCATTTCCTCGCTTGCACATGGAATATTTAGTACCTTGCAACATTTTATTTTTTAAAAAAGATGTTAAAATTTTAGCTATGGTCAAACAAATCTAGGAACTTCTAAAAGCACCCATCTCCAATAGCTAAATTCTATATTGCCAAAGCAAAACAAGAGTTTGCAATATATAGCATTCACTTTCATCTGAGGAAAAAACATATTTTCCACCACATTTTTTATTTTTCAACTGCTTTGCCAACTAGAATAACATTAAATTCCACGAAGACACATACAGTAAAGCCGCAACATGGTGCTTTTTAACATGTTGGGTGTATGGTGCACCGCAGTTGTCTTAGAAATATTCTGAGGGAAAATTGTGAAGCGACCAGTTCACTTTTTTAAAGTGGAGACTTTTATGTCAGATGTATTAAAAGGAAATGCTACACTAGAATATAACAATGGTTCAGTGACAGAACTTGTTGTCAATGAAAGGGAACAATCAACACCCTCCTGTTAGTTCTGATGGCTCCTCAGGACGTTGGAACAAGCAGTTAGGTCAGGGGTGGGCAAAAGAGCCTCAGTGGGCTGGATCCGGCCTGCTAAGCTGGTTGATTCAGCCCGTGGAGGCCCTGCTGCTCCCCCATCCTCAGGCCAATTAGGGCCTGGGGCGGGGGAGCGCGCAAAGCCTCCTCCTGTCCTGCTGGGAGCATGTGGCGCTTCAAAGCGCTGTGCGCTGCTCACAGGGTGGGGGCAGAGTGGAGAAAGCTTTCTGTGCTCCCCTGTCCCCAGGGCTTAATTAGCCTGAGGGCGGGGGAGCGCACGAAGCCTCCTCCCGCCCTCCTGGAAGTACATGACACTTTGAAGAGCCTGGTGGCAGGGGACCTGCATGAAATTTCCTTCACCCTGACCCAGCCCTGCAAGGAGCCCGTGGCACTTCAGAGTGCCATGGGCTCCTCTCAGGGCGGAAGGAGGCTTCCTGCACTCTCCCACCCCCAGGCCCTTATTGGCCTGGGGTGGTGGGAGGGAGCGTGCCAAGTATGGGATGGGGAGCAAAGGGGCTCCCCATCCCCAGACCAATCATTGAAGTGGCCCTTAGCCAAAAATTATTGCCCACCCCTGATTTGGGTTGATGGTTCTGCTTTGTCTTTTGGTGTTTACCTCCCACAACTGTGGGGTTGTTCAGACTCAGATAACTCTAGAATAATTTGCTGAAACCTTTTGTTGTTGTTGTTCTCAGGTGTCTAATTAGATCAGTTTGTCATTTATGTGCACAACTAACATTTTGGATTGCCTTTGAAGACTTTCATGTTTAATTTCCAAGTTTGACTTTCAAGTAAATGGCAAATATAAATGCTTGACTGAGAGCAAGAAACATGCCTACTATATTATGTTAAGATAAAATAAGTAACTTATAAATTGATGCTAAATAAAAAAAAATAGGAGCATGGTGTTTTGTTAGTTAAATGGGGAGTCAGCCAAAAGGTAATGTAATAAAAGTAAAACTCACACAAGCTATTAACGGAGAAGTAATACACAGTAACTTAGCTGCATTAGGAAAACTACTAAAATACCAGTAGGGTAGATGATAGGCAGAAGGTCCTTTTATTAATGACCAATCTCTGTTTTACATACCAGAGAATATCCAAAAAGCCTTATCTTGTATCTTTGACGTCAATGAGAGTAGGCCTTTTCATAGACAGTATGGCATGGAGAACATGAGATGAAGGGGCAGAAAGAAGGGGAAAAATGACAAAAATCTGTGTGACTCGATATGTAGAGTATGAATGTTCCATATGGCAATTTATCACAGTGAAAAGCGGATACTATCTCTGTGTGCGCGTGTTATGTGCATGCATTTGTAATATATAACAAATGATCTTAAATCTGGTTCCAAGGCATTAACTCTATATTTTGCTTTACAGTGTAGCTCTTGCAATATATTACCACATCAAAAACAGGTATGTAAATTATTCTATTGAAGATATCCATTTTAAAAATGTTCAGTGTTTCTTTTTATGGAATAAATTGACAGTTTACAAATTAATATAATAATGATGACAGATTCAAATTAATTTTAGTATTGGGAAACTTGGACTTCTTTTAACAGTTTCAGTTACATATACTATGTTCACCTTATGAATAAAATATGTGAGAACAAATTATGACTGATAAATTTAAACTGTGTCCTGCGGTGGCTTCTGGTTTGCCCTTTTGTAAAGTTTGCTGTAGGAAGTGTTGGGTAAGTGAGTAGCTATGGATTATCAGTAGGGAGGCAGTAAATAAAAAGTCCTGTATTGTGTAACAATGGGAATGGCATTAAAAATAAGTTATTAGCATCAGGGGCAAAATTATTCACCAAAATAAGTGTGCCAATATCAGGTAATGTTTTGTTCTAGTTCAGGTGTGATGATTAAAAGGGGACGATTAGGAAGGTGAGAGAGAGTGTAATTATTTTTCACTTCATAGTGTGAAAGTGTACTTTTGTAAAATGACTATTTTTAGCAATGCTTTTTTTTCTGAGAGCATCCTTTTATATATTTGTTTCTGAAATTTTCACAGGGGCTTTGTTTGTTTTTAAAACAGATCTTTTTAATCTGGGGAGGAAATATCCTAGCTTCGAGTCCAACATAACACTTAAACATGAGCTTACATCTAACCATGTGAATAATCTTGTTGACTTCAATAGGCCTACTCACATGCTTGATGTTGAAGATGTTCCTTAATTTGTGGGTGGGTCAGGTCCTCAATGTGGCCCTATTTAGCACTGAAGCCAGTGGAACTCTATCTACATAAGTGTAAGGGTCTGCAATAGCATATACCTGTGTCGCTTCTATAGAGAAACCAGTTAAACTAACTTCATAAAAGTGCTGTAAATGCCTGATTCAAAACTAATCAAAGGACTCCATACACTGCAGTGGGCTTTGGACTGGGACCTAAAAGTGCAAAGTAAGCACCCTGAAAAAATAAATGAGTAGAAATCTTTGTTAACTTCTTTCAATGTATAGTAATCTTCTTACCCTGTTTAGAGTCCTACAGCCTTCAATGAGAGCATAGCTTGTAACTATAGTAGGTACACAAGATAAGCATGGCTAAAAGTGTTTATGGGATTGGGGCCTGAGGAGCATGTCATGAATATAATACTTGTCACATTCTCCCTTCTTGGCAAGGATTAGGCAAGTAAATGGGAATAGATGCCTAGAATCACTTTTTTTAAAATGACACCATCAGAGTAAAATATTTTCTGCTCTCATTTTGATTTTACACCTAAAAGGTGTCATTGTTAATAATCTGAGCACTATGTGCACTGAATGCTTTTCTGTTGGGAAGGCTGGTGGTTCTTTCACTATTCTGAGAGGTGAATGTATCAAGAAAGAACTACTACACTCTTTTCTGCGGCTGTATATTGATACACATGTTGTAAATGCGCCCTCTGCTGTACTCTTCAGAAACTGTTCTAGAAAGGAAGAAAAGTGTTACCTTTTCTTAAAGTACAAACATGAAATCACTGTTTGACTCAAGATTAAAGGATCAATTTGATGGCAGCACTCTGTTATCATGCTACAGGAACACCAGTAATTTTTTAAAAGTTCTGTTTCCCAGCCCCACAATCAAAAGTGAAACAGCAGTTTATATAGGATTTATCAATACTTGTCATGGTTCACGGATTACAAGCACATTTGGCTCCCATAGAAGTTCATCTCAGTTTGACTAATGGGAAGGCACTATGTAAGAAATATGTTGTTCATTCTTTTTCTCGCTCCAGCACATCAGATTTACTCAAAATTAGATTAGTGTCTAACATTCCAAACTCTGATCAAGTCTTAACACTAACATTTTCAAAAGAAACTATTGACTTATGGCTAGGTTCTTCTGTGGTTAATCTGATTTAACTGCTTGGCTGTATTGCCGTGATTGTCATTCTTTCTTTCTCCAATTCCTTTTCTTCATTGTTTGTTGTTCTTGTTGCATCTTTTGTTATATTTAGATTTTAAGTTCTCTCAAGCAGAGGCCATGTCTGTTTTGTTTGTGAAGTGCCTAACATGCTTTTGGGTACTCAGAAAACAAAGCAAAGCAAAGCACTTCAGATTAGATAGTAAAAAAGTTCCAAAAGCTCTTTTCAGTGAGGAAAATGATTATTGTATCTCGTTTTTCTCTTTCACAAGTATTGAAGGCTAAGCAAATGCTTTGATGGTAGGCTGCAGCTAAAGCACAGAGGAAGGAAAAAGAATCATTTTCTCTGTCATTTGTAGAGGGCCAGAGTTGTATTACCCTTTCTCACCATTGATAGCTGTGGACTCTCTGTGGACTAAGGGTTCTTCGTACACAGTATCAGAAAGTGGCCCAAAATGTAAATTTTCTTAGCTGATAAAGAACTTCTGTTGCATGCTAGTTTTAGTTACAGTAGGGTTAGGTATTCATCCCATTTTAAGAAAAGATTTATTTCATGCATTAACACAAAGTAGAAATATTTTATCTTTAGATGTTGTGGCTTAAATCTATGTTGGTTACTAGTTAAATATGTTTTGTGATCTCAGATGCGACTAGGTCCTCAGAGGATCAGTTGTGACCATCCAAGCTATAAATTCTTTGGGTATACACAGTTCAGTACAGATAGGAAATACATGCAACAGTCTCTGTTCAGAAGAAGCCCATGGCCAGAAGAGCAACTGTGTGAAGCCGCTTGCACAACATCTGTCCGCAGAGTGCTGAGCTCTAACTGCTGCTGTTGATGCAACCTTTTTTCTGATCATGAATATTTATTCCAAAATTATGCAAATGAAAAGAATCAAATATTGTTGTTAATTTCTGTGGAATTGCATCTGATAGATGTTACAACCAAGATGGGCAGCACAAATAGTGACAGCATGCTTTAGTTTATGAAAGACATGCACAGTCTTCTGCTAAGCAATGAAATGGCAATGTTTCTCTTTCTTTTCAGGGACGCAGACGGAAGGATGCTCTTAGATATTTTTGATGAAAACCTTCACCCCCTTTCGGTAAACTCATCTACCTCTTGTTATCTTTCATGAGGCTGAATCCGCTGCCTTTCCCTGTGCCTGTTTTTGATTCCTGTTTGAAAATATCTCTTCACCAGAAATCCGAAGTGCCACCAGACTATGACAAACATGACCCAGAGCAGAAACAGATTTACCGTTTTGTTCGGACGTTATTCAGTGCTGCTCAACTGACTGCTGAATGTGCCATTGTCACCCTGGTGAGTGTCTGTGAAATGACATAAATCATTCAACAGATCCACCCTTGTTTCCTGAGCTTGTTTCTCTGCAGCTGTAATGTTGTTAAGAAGTTTGTTCTCAATACACTTTGTGCAGAGATACTAAGAAAGTTATTTGGAGGGGAAAAAAAGTACTCTTCTGTCTTGGAGATTAAATGATTGAAATTTTACAGGAGGATGCTGAGCATGTGTCACAGTCAGGTTTATATTTTGCTCAGGCAGCATGGTAACTTTACAGGCCAGCAGGCTGACTAATATTAAACTCAGGTGAGGTAAGTGTCTTTGCCATGTGGAAATTTTAGGCATGGAACCCATTCCTGGGCAGGTTTACTGTGTATCATTATAGCTCCCAGCAAAGACCGTTCTTGACAGCTGCCAGTAGCTTAATGGCATTAGTAAGAGTTATGGATGCATAAGGGCTGCATGAGTGACTGGAGCATGTTGGCGGCTGCACTGTTTGCTGTGTACGTGTGTTTTAGGGGCATGTCAGATAAGCGAACAATTGAATAGCTAGGGATGAAGTTTATCCACCTAAAAATAGAGTACTAAAGATGAAGAGCCAGATAGCTCCATTGACTTCATGGGCTAATGGAGCTCGTCCGATTTCTGCCAGCTGAGAATCTGGACTGAAATTTCTATCCTACTGACTCTTGTGAGTCTCCTCAGATTTCAGGCATGGTTTTTGCTACATTCTTGGCTTAGGGTTTAAAAAAAGAAAACATGCTAGTTATTTTCACCTCTTCCAAGTGAGTTTGTAGGACAGTTTCTACCAAGTTTATTTTTGGGGGACAGGAGGTGAAATTGTAGAGGCAGAACCTCGACATTTGGCCCCATTCTCCCTCTGACGATCCCTATAGCTTTGCATGCTGCAAACTCTTCTTCTCTGATAGAGAATAGCTGATGGGCCTAGATTCCTCCAGTGTCTGTCCAAACCACATGTGAGTTGGACATGATATCGGAGTGTGCTGCTAATCAGCTTCTTTGGGCCAGCCACTATCCATAGTTTGTATACATTGAGTCTATTGCTGTATCTCCTACAGAAGTAGTGCTTAATTTAAAGATCTTTATTGTCAAATACAATGAAACACTCTTCCATGAATGCTGGTTATGCAAATTTATATTACGCAATCCATTGTGAAAGAGAATCCCTCATTCTAGCTGAGAAGAAAGGCTTTTATATGCCATAGCCATAATTCAGCGATTGTGGTTTTACAGCAGGCTGTCATATCACTGCTCCATGTTTCCTTAGTCTTGTTAATGTGGTCACATTGTAGGAAAACGTGCAGCCCTCCAGTCCTGTGGTAGAGAAATAACTAAGAATAAAAGCCCACAACTAACTCGTTGGATTTTAAGCGGCAGTTAAACATACTGTTTGAATTATTGACTTCTCTTTGTCTTAATTAACGAGCGTCTCTAGTGATTGGAACCTGAGACCCCAACTCAAGTGACTTGGTTTCTGTTCCTGCCTGTGCCTCTTACTTGTTTTATGAGCTTGGACAGGATATTCATGGCTCAATGTTCAAAGGTGCAAAGCACCTGCAATTTCCAGTGAACTCAGCGGGAGCTGCATATCCTCAGCACTTTTCCAAATCAGACCATTGATCTGCCGGTGCGCTCAAATCACTGTCTGTAAATATGAGGATGATAATACCCACCTTAGTAACGTGTTTCCAGATCTGTGAATAAAATGTCTTTTATAAGTATGATGCCATAGTATTTTTACTACCACTTTATTGATGAGTTAAATATTCTCCTTTTGCCCCAACTTCCATTTCCTCATTTGTCCCTGTTGCCATCAGTAGGGACCTAGAAAGGGATCTGTGTAACTGCATGGAAATTAAACTGCTTTAAAAAAAACAAAAAAGCTCCCAAACTGGGTTTGCTGTCACATTATGAACTTTAGCCAAAATCTGCCAAGTGCTTTGAGTTTTGAGATACAGACTGTGGGTAGAAACCAGTCTCCTCTGCACAAGCCTGTATTTCATTGTAGTCTTTCCCCACATTGCACTGTAATCAGATCTGCCGTCCGCCACTCATTCCTTCTCATAGACTTGCCTGCAATCAGGCAGTGTGTCTGCAGGAAAAGCAGCTCACAATACTTTTTAAGTGAGACTTGAATGATGGGGGTTTACCAGTCCCTCTTTAACATATCCATATATTATTAAAAACAAACATGAACAAAGATCTAAGTATGATGGTGTCTTGGAGTGAATGCAGTGCTTTCCCCTTTGGATGCAGACTTACGCATGTGATGCTGCCTGAGAAGCACAGACAGCAACAATGGTGGGTTAGATTGTAGTCCGTACTAGGGATGTTACATTTTGTTTAATCAACTAATTGACTAGTTGATGGATTTTCCATTGACTGGTGGAGTAGTCTATAGCAGGGGGACCCACAGTGGAATTAGTTCCTGCCTTGGGAGCTAACCCCGCTGCAGCTCTGCCTTTTAAATATATTAGGAGCCTACTAGTTCTTAATACATTTAAAGGCTGAAGTACAGCAGGGAGGACCCTATGCGAGCCGGGACAGCTGACTCCCGACTTCTGCCAGTCCCACCCCCCCGTACACCAGCCTTAAATGTAAAAAGGCTGGAGTGCATCAGGGGACTCAACACAAGCCGAGAATCAGCTGTCCTGGCTTGCACCAAGCCCGCCCAGCTGAGTTTCTGATTTTTAAATGCATTAAGATCCAACAGGCTCTTAATAAACTTAAAGCAGAGGCGCAGTATCTGGGATCGGGTGCAAGCTGGGAATCAGCTATTCCCTTGCCCCCCACAGAGAAAGTGTTGGGGGGAACCGGCTTTTAAGCTGGCTCCCCCCAGTGCCGACTCCTGCTCCCTTCTTCCTTGCTGCCTGTGACTTAGTCGATTATCTGATAAGCCAGTGGTCTCCAACCTTTTTACACCCAGATCATTTTTTAAATGTCAGGGCAAGCCAAGAGCTACCTCCATCCCTTCCCCAAGACCCCACCCCTTCCTTAAGGCCCTGCACTCTCCATTCCCTTCCTCTCCATCGCTTGCTGTCCCCAGTCCTTACTCACTCTCACTGGGTTGAGACAGGAGGTGTGAACTCTTGGGCGGGAATGAGGGATTTTGGTGTGGAAAGGGTGAGAAGTGCAAGATCTGGGAAGTAATTTGGGTGCAAGAGGAGGTGGAGAAGGGGATGCTGGCTCACAAGGGGGCTCCAGGCTGGAGAGTGTTGGGGTCAGGTGGAGGGTTGGGTTGTTGGAGCAAGCCACAGACTTGTGGATATTGGGGTGCAGGAGTTTGGTTTGGGATATAGGAGGGGCTCAGGACATGGGGGGTTGGGTGTATGATGGGCTCAGGACACAGGTTTGCAGTGTATGGATGGTACAGGAGTGTTGTGGCACAAGACTGAGGATGTGGGTGGTGCAGGAGTTTAGGTATTTAAGGGGGTCAGGACAGGGGGTTCAGGTGTTAATGAGCTCAGGGTTAGGGTCTGTAAGGGATGCAGGGGTAATATGATGCTGTGGCCAGATGGGGGCTTGTTGGCCATGCTTCATTTTTAAATAAAATATTATGTCTAATGCGAAAGGTTTCAGCATTGTCTTTGTGGGAGGGCTGGGAAACCTGTTTTGGGTCAGAGGCCATCGACACACAGAAAAATCAGTCCAGAACCACACGAGTGAGATGCAAAAAACCAATCCCTCCAAAACCCCACAAACCTCACTGATGTGGCCCCAGATGAGACACCTCATTCCCCTGGCATGGGAAGGGTAGGTAGGACTGAGGTTCAAGGCCTCAGGCCAGCTTAACTTTTCTGGGGATCCAGTGTGCGGGACAGGGATGCCAGTGAGTGGGATAGAGATGGCGGTGTAGAATCTGGGTGGAAAGTAGGGTACAGGAGCAAGCTGGGGGTATGTGTCTGGCCAGGAGAGAGGGAGCAGGAGCACGGTGCTGGTGGGGTCTGGCCAGGGGCCAGAGGCCAGGGTGCTGGCCAGGGGGAGTGGGTAGGATGCTGGTGGGGGTCTGGCCAGGGAACACAGTGCTGTAGGTGTCTGGACAGGAGAGAGGAGGCAGGAGCAGCTCAGCCGGTACCTGGGGGTCTCCAGGGATGAGGATCTCTGGGGCAGGCTGTAGAAGATGCACACGTGCGGCTCCTTTAAGAAATCCAGGCACTTCAGATCCTACACTGCCATAACTCCCCTCTCCTACCACAACCACCACAGCCCCTTCCCCCCCCCTTTTTCTGGAGCGCAGGGAAGGAAGGAAAGACAAAAAAGTGTATGTTCAGTTGTGGTCAAGGGAGGAGCGCGTGCTTTCTTGTCTTCCTTTCCTTCTCTGTGCTACCTTCCTTCCTTCCTGCAGCATAGGACTAGCACCCAATGCTGCAGGAAGCCAGAGCTAGCTCTATTTTTGTAGTGACAGCGCAGGCTCCTCTTTGGGGGTGGAGAGGAAGAAGAGGGCTGCTGGGAACACTGCCTCATGATCGACTAGCAATGCCCCCACAATCGACCAGTTGATTGTGATTGACTGGTTGGTGACCATGGTGATGATAAACTTTTGCTTATCCTATAGTCGACTAGTCGCTTTATAGTCCTAGTCTGTACACCTGATGAAGGAACTGAGTAAAAGGAACCCACAGCCTGGATCAGAAAAGCTGCTTTGCAGTACAATAATGGGGGACATGCAGATAAATGTTGAACTGACTCAAAATGAAGCATTATGGGTCAGTTAAATAAGCCAAAAATGTACATTCTGATTCTGGAATAGCTAAATGTTTTGTTTGGGAAAGAAAATGTTGAAATGAAATTGATATTTTTGAATGGAAAATTTGAGTGTCATGCACAAAAATTTTATATTTCATGTTTTGTCCTAATCTGGAAAGAAAACAATATTGTAATATTGGAATTTTCCATGGGATGGCAATTTCAGATTTTTCCTAGTTCTCTTTTATAGCAAACAAATCAACATCTCAGTTTGTCTTCTCTTCCTTCAGAAGGTCTTGCATCCTTTCGGTGGG